GTATATATAAATATTTTTTGTAAATTGTAATTTTGTAAAATGTATGAGAAATTACATACTTTCTCTTCCATGAATTTTATTACTTCGGGAACATAATCCATTAGATATTTGTTGGGCGGTAATGGTGGAATGTGTAAAGATTCCGGCCTACCGATAGCGTCCTCTAAGGTTTTAGATAAATAAAGTTGCGGGGAAATACGATTCCAATCTGGACCATAAAATGTAACTAGAAGCATTGCTTCGTCATTTTGTGATTTATTCATACGTGGAGGTAATCGTGTATAATCCATAGATATGCGAATTAAAAATCGCGCTTCCATAGGCTTTAATCCTAGTAACATTATCACTTCTATATCTTCTTTACATATCTCTGTTTCTCCAACAAGTGTGCTATATTCAAGTTGTAATCGATCTCCCTGTTTTCCAAGTAACTGTATCTGGAAATAAAAATAAAATCTTTAGCTTCATATACATGAATATGATACATCTATATTTTAAGTCCTATAAAATGTGAACAAAGTAATATTTTGCGCAATAAAATTATTTGCAGTTTTTAAGTCTTATTAACATTTAATTATTAATATTCTTCTAAAATACTTATTAGCATCAAAATTATACAAATTGTTTGTTAATTTAATATGTATATATTACTATTTTAATTCTATTCATGATTGTGTCTTAAGAATGAAAAAGCACGCGGTTTGCAGAATTGGACATATATTTAAGTTTACATCGAAATATTTAAGAATTAAGATCAGCTTTGATCTAAAAATAGGATTACTCTTAATTATATTTATTCTTCTTATCAGTCTAATCTTGAATTATAACTCCTACAAAATATATTATACATCAAATTCATCAGGGAATGTGCATTCTATATAATCAACAAAAATATATATGTAAAATTGCTTACTTGATGTTCCTTGTAATACAATAACAACTCCATTAGTACATTGAGCAGTGCATCGGTATTATTAGGATTCCATTTAACAAGACTAGGTACCCAAGTAGATAAAATATCAATGTCTGGATCCATTAAAAAATTTTGATCATTGAATATGAAATCCGGACCCATTTCTGGACATTGCGAATCAAATAACACATTCCACATAAGGTGTTCCCCAGCATAGGGAATTAATAATTTGAAACAATCATTTTTGTTCTTATTGCAACTCGATGATACTGAATCCAATTTTATTGGACCATAAGAAACACCTTTAAAAAATGTATCGATAACAAAAATATCAATTTCATTATAAATAAAATAACAATTAATAATGAAACTTACCAAGTCTTTTAGTTTGTAACACGCGTTTCAAAAGCGGCTCTATATACGAGTCTATGGTGCTCAACAGAGGATGTTGTTGATTTAGCATCTTATTGTCAAAACTGAAGAAACTATAACATAATCAAGTTGAATGAAAGAAATCAATATTCCACTACTGCACTTTGGATTTTGAACTGAACAGCTTTTATCTGGCAATATTCTGTATATGCCTGAATGAATTCCTGTTAAACATCATCCCCTTCCAAAAAACTGATAACTTTTGCAATTTAATTCTCTAAAATATCATACAACAGCTAGTGATTACTGAGAACTGACAAGAAGAAAGTAACCTCTCCAACTATTCCACTAAGGTTATATATACATAATACAGAGAATATTATTCGTCAATTTTTGGCCGATGCTGCTAGCGGTTTTTATTTATTTTAATATCAATTTTAGGTTAACATTAAATTTCAACCAATTCGTTGTTTCTTTTTTTTCGTTTATGAATATAAATGACAGAAACAGAACTGAAACATTCCATAAAATTCAATTAACGTTAGGGCCTGCACACAATAGAAGGAATTAGGAATAAAAAATAAACAATTTCAACCTATCAGAAACTGTGTATTCCGATGTATCCGATTTCTGATAGATTAGCATCGTTTGTTCTTTATTCCTTATTCCTTACTGGTGTAAGGCGTCGTCTACAATACACGGAGTAAGAAGTAAGAGTAAGAAATTGACCAATCACAGTCGAATGTGAGAAGAATAATCGACTGTGATTGGTCAATTTCTTACTCTTACTTCTTACTCTGTGTATTGTAGACGGGCCTTTATGGCTTAAGGCTTAAAACCCTATTGTAGATCCGGACTTACTGATTACGTCTTACGGACTTAGTTTTTCTATGTGCCATGGGCTGTAGTTCTAATTTTTCACCTACGCTCTGTATATTGTAAGACAGATTGGGAAAATTAAAATAGACGTCACAGACACAGATATATATTTTAGGTCAAAGTCGAAATCGGAAATCCACCGGCTAGAACAAGAAGAAAAAGGTCAAAGTCCAGCATTACATGGTTTTTCTGATTGTGACAGGCTTTCGGTGACGTATCAAACGTAATTGGAAAAAAGAACGTGTTAATATCGTATCTTACACAGTATGATTCCTCTTCTGAAAAATTGCCTCGTCGCAAGACAGGGAATTGTCAATTATGGTATGAGAGTCATTTTTTAAATAATCAATTAAATATTACATATAAAGCGCAGTTTTATACTGGTATAAAGTCCATAGAAAGTGGATATCAAGAATAGTATATTTATACTTGACTTTTCTCTTTCCGATACATAATTACATATAATTATGTTGTTTTTATATAATTCATACACACTTTTACAGGATCCAAAATTTACATTTATTTCTGATAAGTTTTAAATAATATATGCTTGTATTTCGTGGTGTATTTGCTCCGTATCATTTAATAAATTATCAGTATAATCATATTTTTATATATTATTATTATTATTATTATTATCAGTAATACATATTTTTTTAATTACTATTTTAGCAGAAGCTCTCGCCCGTTATTCTGGAATTTCTATAAACAAGGCATATTCTACAAAAAGCGACAATGCTTCAAAAAATATTGTATATGTTGATGGAGTACGGACTCCATTTTTACACTCTGGAACTGACTATAAGAAACTCATAGCTTATGATCTAGCAACACATTCGCTGATGTAAGTCATCATTATATTGATATATCAATCTAAATAATCACAAATATAACTCCAAATATTTTTTATAAAATAGCTTTAAGAAGTTCATATCTTATCTTTTAATTGCAAATATTGATTGTCAAAGTAAATTACTTTTTTACTACTTTATAGGAGCTTGCAAAAAAAGATTGGGTTTCCCAAGGAAATAATTGATTATATTGTCTATGGCACAGTAATGCAAGAAATACGAACTTCCAATATCGGAAGAGAAGCTGCTCTAGCTGCAGGATATAGTGAGCACACTCCTGCACATACAGTAACGATGGCATGCATTAGCAGCAATCAGGCTATTACCACTGGCATGGGTTTAATCGCATGCGGTGTTTATGACGCTATTATAGCAGGAGGAGTAGAATTTATGTCAGATATTCCAATTCGACTTAATCGATCCATGAGATCTCTGATGCTGCAAGCCAATAAAGCAAAAACTCTACCAAATAAATTAGCTCTCTTGGCCACTATCAGACCAAGTCATTTCATACCAGACGTAAGTTGATGCTCTTTCTATTTTTTTTTTCCAAGAAAATGTATTTTATATAAGAATATTATATTCACAAATATATATAAAAATAATAGAACTCTTTTCCTCCTTCAATTTTTAAAATATCTTACAAAAATTTATGTCTGTGTGTGTGTGTAGTTACCAAGTGTGGCAGAGTTTTCAACTAATGAAACAATGGGACACAGTGCAGATCGTTTAGCAGCGGCATTTGGTGTTACACGCAAGGAACAAGATGATTACACATTGCGTTCTCATACTTTAGCCGCACGAGCACAGCAACAGGGACTGCTGTCAGACGTAGTCCCTTATAAAGGTGGATTAATGTTTTAATATTTAATTTATACATTCATATTTTATTCATTAAATACTTAACTTACATACTTATACGTTTTGCTTTATTTTTCTGCATTGTAGTTCCGAATGTTGATAAAGTTGTCGATAGGGACAATGGCATTCGCGTATCTACGGAAGAACAATTAGGAAAGTTGAAACCTGCGTTTGTTAAACCTTATGGAACAATTACTGCAGCCAACTCATCTTTCTTGACCGATGGCGCGTCAGCGGCATTAATAATGAGCGAAGAGAAAGCTCTCCAACTTGGCTTGAAACCTAAAGCATACTTACGAAACTTCACTTATGTGTCTCAAGATCCAGTTGATCAACTACTTCTAGGACCGTTATACGCAATCCCGAAAGTATATAAGTCCTATCATTATTGTTGCATATTATTTATGTAACTGAATAAAATAATTTATATAAATTACGCTTGTAGATTCTGGATAGAGCAAAATTAACTATGAAAGATATAGGAGTGTGGGAGATACACGAAGCGTTTGCGGGAATGATCTGTGCTAATCTGAAAGCAATGGATTCTGATTTGTTCGCTCAAAAGTATTTAAAGAGGAGTTCGAAAGTTGGTGTACCAGATCTAAACAAATGGAATGCTTGGGGAGGATCCTTGTCGATCGGTCATCCATTTGCCGCCACTGGAGTACGATTAGCATCACATACCGCTAATCGACTTATTAAAGAAGATCAACAATTCGGACTTATCGCGGCTTGTGCTGCTGGCGGTCAAGTAAATAAAGATTTATGTTACATATAATGCAAACAGTTTTTATAAAAATCTTAATTAACTTTTATAATAATCTTAATGTAAATTTTCTTTTGCCTTTTTGGGTTTGTAATTTTGATATTTTTTTACAGGGAGTTAGTATGATCATGGAACGATATCCTGGTGCTACGATCTAATCCCACTTTTTGAGGAATATACATTTGATAAAAATAGATATTAATTAACAGAGAAATAGTGAAATAATATTTTTCTACTTAAGAGAGATATAAAATTGTGAAACTTTTTTAAGCAATTTTTTATTAGCTAGATAGAAGTTTATGTACAGTGAGATAATTAAATTACATAAAAATCTCTTACAGAATGTGAAATATAATTGTCTCTCTTTTTCTTAGTCGAGTGAATTATGCAAAAATGAAGGCAACAGATTTGCAGTTAGATGATGTCTCACGCCATGGTCTAATATATTCTTTATATCCTGGCAACCTTGTAACGCACGTTGTTTGAGTGTCTCTAAACGTGACAAATGTAATCTCTGACCTGCCCCATGTGCTACTACGATCAAACCATTCCCATCCATTTCAATATCATTATTTGTTCCTGCTAATGCAACAACAGACAAAGTAACCCCTGGTGAACACTCCTCTACAAAGTTCGCATCTAATACTCCTGTGGCTAACGTTTTATCTTCATCTTCTACCGACGGCTTGTTAACAAGAGTTACGCTACAGCCGATGGCATAGTTCTGTAATTAGAAATTTATTTTGTATATATAACGATATGGTTCGCATTCAAAAGAACAAAATTGTCTCCTTAGATATTAACCTTGATTGGAATTCCAGCATCTATCAATGCAAGCGTCGCAGCATTTACGGATGCACAATAATCACTGCCGTCAACCTGTAGAACCTCTACGAAGACATCGATCTGAGAACGTGGATACAGTTCCAAGTGTATTATAGCCTCCATGGCATGACGTAATTGTGCCGACCTCTCTTGTGATTTCCAATCTCCTCTGGGTCTTCGCTTCCGTTCGCCAGAAGTAAAACTAAACACAGCCATGCTGTACTGACAATTTATGATAGCCTTTGTACTATTCCTTGATGCGCTGCTTCTTGACTAAATCATAAAAAGATATAAAGAATTTTTATTCTGACATTTATCTTGAGATATGCCATACAGATATTGTATGGCATATTTCAAGATAAATGTCAGAATAAAAATTCAGTAATTAAGGTAAATATTCGGTCTAAAGAAATGTACTTGTGCTTTAAATAGAAAAATAAGGTGATTATAGAAAAGTAAAAAATAACAGTTATCATCTTGGTGTACTTCCTAATCTTTAAAAGTTACAATTATAACTTCTTAGGCCCAGTTCTATCGATGTAAGATTACCTTTAATCTCAATTCAATTTACTCTTTATCTTTTCTTAATTCTAAAAACTAGAAAAAGATAAACAGTAAATTAAGTCGAGATTGAAGTTAAACAAGTTAAATATTACACTGGTGGAACCAGACTTTCACTTATAACTTCTCTCAACCAAAATGTATAAACGTAATTACTAGTTCGTTTTTTTACAGTAATTGTGGAAATGTTTTAAAACTGATCCTCACCTGACGAGGACCGTACACCGCTGCTAGAACCTTCGTGTTACCGTGTTCTATATATGCACTGCCATCGGCCTGCCCAAATACTCCCATCCGCAAACGGATTTGCCTCAATTCTAACGCTCGTCTGCCGTCAACGCGAAGTCCACCATGATCATTCTCTTGATCTGGCTCCATTGTATCTTTACTGATTAATGCTGATTGATTAAAACGAGAGAGTTCCTAACCTTTAATGTACACAATATTGTTTACATGCGCACACACGTGGTGCAGATCAGTGCAGGTTGCAGCCATTGCAGGTGCAGATGCAAATGTTAGCGCTATCTATAGAGAAATTTTCAGTAGAGAGAAATGGAGACAAAAGCGCGTAATCACCAGGGTTGCCAGGGGATCGAGTCTGTATCTTGAAACGAGGTGAAAATTACAAAAGTGAGCGAATTTACAAGAATACTGATAATTTCATTGGTCAACACCTGAAAGAGGGATAGTTTAATGGGTCCTTAAACGAACTTTTACGAAATTTTAATTCCACATCTCTTACATATGTATGTAAAAACGTACCAATAGATGGCCCACCCTGTAAATAAAAATCGTTGAATTTTAAGGATTAAAAAAACTTTTTCTGACTTTTTCTTGGTAAATATTTTATGTAAGTTTTTGGAATCTAAAGTGCGACAATTCGTATTATGTATTTATCGCGATTTCAACAAGAAATGTGAAGAGCGGCACGCGGCACGGCCTGCTTGTAAAATAATAACGAATATTACGAATAAGTAAAATAATATATTCTTTATATTTTTAATGTTCTCCGATCAATAGGGGCTTTATTACACGGTTTCTGCTTTATTTCTTAGATGCTTTATGCATTCACGCAGCTCACGACCATCTTAGTTTAATTGTGTTACAATAAGTGATTATATCAGTTTATAATAACCCGGAAAAAATATTATATATATGTATATATATGGACATATTTTGTACTTACATATAATTATATGTAATTATATATGAAACATTTTTCCCGGGAATTTTATGTTATACAAAATCCGTGCAGTGTACACAATATATTTTTAATAAAAGATTGACGTCTTGCTATTCTTTTATAATATTTAAATTGCTGAATTCTATCATTTACGTTTTATTTTAAGATAAAAGAGTTATTTAGTATTTATTATTTTAAACAACTATACTTCTAACTTATTACTTGTATAGAATATTATCAACCTTTGTTTAAGTATGAATCATTTAAAATATTTTAAAAGTGAAAATTGAGCCATAATGTATCGTTAAATATCAAAAATACCTCACACACGCGAATAATTATCAGTTACGTATACAAACAGCGCAAATAATATAGGATTAAACTAGTGCCAGAGATTCCACAAAGCAAAGCGCGAAATGTACGCGAAATGATACCCTTTTGTCAAAATCATGTAAAATATGAATAAATGAATAAACTGTGAATATTTTTCATTCGCAATGTAATAGTAGGATGGGATATCTAAACGGCGCGAGGCGAACAGCGAGGAGTGGGGGAACGTGCCGCGCGGCGACAATAACGACTACGTCATCACTTCGGCATTCGCCCGGCGACCTCGGAGAGAGACGGATGCGTTTTACGAGTCGTTCCGGGTGTCGCATTAATTAATGAAAATTAGAACTTTACGCGAATTACGTAAAGTTGCTTAAAACTAAGGAGTGTGCTAAGGGTTAATAGATTTTATTGCACAGATTTGCTCAATTTCTTAGATTCATTACGCGCATATACAGCTGAATATTTTAGATATTTCATTTGTTCTCACATGTACGGTATAAAAATGAGATTCTTATGGTTAGATATTTCAAATTGTAGCTTTTTATCACTTTGAATCTAATTCTGCTAACACTTGAATATAATTCTGCCATTGTCGCGTTACTCCGCATTCTTATAATACGGGAAAAGTAATAGATTAATTATATTTAAATTAAATATCTCTAAATATATGTGCATGCTATTTAGTATTTATACGTATTATTCTATACAGTCGAAATAGTTTCATAATTTAAAATAAATTTTGCATATTATTAATCTTTATTTAATTTTGTAAATCACAAAAAAGAGGAACAAAAATTGAGATATAATGTTGGGATGTCAAAAGCACTTTAGGTGAGCAATTATATAAGAAAAATCACGCTAGTAAAAACCTTTTTTATTTCTTGTCTTTTGTCAGTACATTGTAATTGATACGAAATATTTAAAATTATAAAATGAACGTCAAATATGTTCCTCGGTGTATCACAATATAATTATGATATCACATTAAACG